CAGTAAACTGCAATGTGAATAGCATAAATCAAAAACTCGCGTCCACATAATTTAGATGGTGTCTTCGAATTTCGTCTCGTAAAAAAGTTCGGCGGCAAGATGCAAGCCAGCTTATGTAAGCTTCCATATACATTACCAGAGATGCAAATCATATTGTTTGATCACATTTTTTGTCAGCTAGATCAGAAGGGCAACTTCAACTGTTTTCTGTACCCTAAGCACGCAAAAACGCGATCCGTAAGTTGCTCCAACAACTTAAAGTGCGAAAGATCCAAAAGATTTGGCTTGCGGTTGACAGAATAAACTTGATGCTGAATCATACTGGGGTGACCAATTGGGGCAGTTTAGTTACAGGATAATGTAGGAAAGCGGTAACTAAGTGTAAGTAAACAGAGAAATATGGGGAAACATAACATTAGGCCATTATCGAAAGGTCAAACTTTTTGGTTGAATTAAAAGCATTATCAAGCCCTCTGATCCATACTACTCTCCGGTAAATAGTTTGGTGATCTGTGATTAAAAATATATTGTCGGCCAAGCTTGTCTCGCATGTCTGGCTGTTTGGAAACGCAGCAGCATGAACTTTGTAAGTTCAGGTCCCATAAATGATGCGTACTTAATGTCCATCAATTATGGCGAAGCTTAGGGATGCACATCTCCGAGTTATTCAAGAGCCACTGAGCGAGCAAAATTCGCAGACTCTACCGAAGACAAGTTTAACTTAAACTGATCGGCAAAGCTCGGTGAACTGCGCGTGCGTTTTTATGTCGCTGATGCTTTGGTTGAAACATTCTTTCGAAGGACATCACGAACGAAGAATAAACTGGATTTCTTTGAGTATTTCGTTAAGGCCAAATTTGTGAATGAATGAGGACATTTGGATAGTACCATGCAATTTGGATCGGCATAGAACACAAGGCTTGAAGAACCTAGATGACTGTAGCCACCTGAGCCCTGTCAAAGAATCTCTAGCAGGCTTTGGAAAGTTTCACCCAAATAAACAATAAATTGGTTTCAAAGCGTCATGCGCAGCTCATGACACTTTTCTGGCGGTTAGGAGCTCTGCTTAAATTTTTGGTGGAAACATGTCTATCAGCACACGCATTGAGAAATAATCCCTGAGATTCATGGTAACTTACGTTTGACATCCACAGCGACATTTAGATTTCACCGAATGAAATCATTTGTGGTTCTAGTGTCCTGCAATGCTGGAAGAAGTTGACCTGAAAGCCTGAATCTGCTTGATGTTGACAGTGCGATTATCAATAGCACTAAGCGGCTAACGCCACCTGTCGACATTCGGTGACCTTGTTCTTCCTGAGCCGCACACTGTTGAGGTTTGGAGTCGTTTTTTGAAGTCTTGCGTGCATTTTTCAGGGCTAGCATACAAGTTGCATATAAGTTGAATTTGAAGGTCATTTTCTGCGCAAGCAGTGGAATATTTAATCACTCGCCAAATAACCAGTAGAGAAAATACGTTTATCTAATAAAAGTCAGTGCTGTAATCCTGAAAAGCTTGTTATCCTGTTTTTACAGTGCATTCGGGGTGTCAGCGTCAAAAATTTAATCTGAAACGCCTTGCTTAAACAAGGCATGAGCAACGGTAATCTGGTTTAGCTGGACGAGGTACCTACCATGATAACTGGAGTTGATGACATCAGGCATCTTTTTAGCGGCCTAATAGACACGCTCACTAAGGTGTGTCCCATCTTTAGTCCTGGTTAGACTAGTCCAAGAGCGGTCTGGCGTAAGCTAACTGAGACACCTGAAGGTACACAGGAATGATACGGAGAAAACACCATACCCCCCAAAGAACACCAAAGAACTCTGGATGAATTTTCTTGATGGAGTGAGGAAAACACTTTTGAGGCGCCAGTTACATACGGTAATCTGCGCTTTCGTCTATTTTCACATTACAAAGAAGACATTTATTGAGCATATAAACGCACAATTGATCACTATGGTGAGGATGCCAAGCCACTGTCAACGTTACTGATATCCACTTATATTGCTGTAAAGTTGGGAACGTAAGAACATAGTTTGTCAGCCCAAGTGGACACGCGTCTGAGGGCTTACCGGGAAGTTTGGTGACACAGGTGTGATACAGGAATAGTTCTCTGAAAAACCTTCTACAGTCTCCGACAGGAATTAGTGCAGAAAAATGGCCATTATCCATTTTTTTGCTCAAAATGTTCTTCTTAACAAAAAGAATATGAGTTAGCATAGAATTTTCCACGGAATCTGATTTACGTTAAACCTGTGAACCTGTCAAAACTCCCAAACCTAGTTTGATTTTACCTGTTGTAAGGCCCCCATGCACAGGTTCATGTTCGCCGCAAGGGGGACGGCCTAGAAATGTGCTCCCCTTCATGATCTTCAAGTTTTTGGCGAGGAATTTATTTATAATGACTCTCCCTAAAGTGAGTTGCATCACCTTGAATAGAGTGACAGTAGCTTTACTAAGCCTTTCGCAGATTGGCATTAAAGGTTGCTAGCCCCAAAACATGAATGGCGTCTTCGTCTTAAACCGACGGAATGTCTGGCGATGTTTGGCATATCAGGAAGATGGTACACCTGGGTCGTTTGTGTGAGCTGAAAAGGTTGGTCTAGTAGAATCAATTGCAAACCTCCTCCTTTGTAAAGAACGGTTTCGTCAAATGCCGAGTTGGAGCCCAACTTTTGGCTTTCACCTCACCTGTTACCACCGGGGAATTTGTGGACTATCCATTCCTGCTTCAAAAAAAGGAAACCGTTGATTTGTTTCACCCGCGATATCTGATTTCTAAAAGCATATCCAGTACACTTAGTAAGTTGGCCTGCTTTTTCATTTAGGCTTACAGCATTTGCGACTCAGCATCTAACGAAGTGCCAGCTAGTTTTCGGGGTTTTCCGCAACTGACTTCTGAGGATTATTTGTGACAGGTTCCTAAAATACGTTGATGGCTCTGGAAAAGCTCTTAGTTCGCTCTACCGCTCCAAGGATTCTTTGTGCCAAACACTGTGTCAGATTTGTGGATCTGATGAACAACTGCCCAATGAGAATCTACTGAAGCGAGCACCAGTTAAACCTGGTACAATCCTGGGAAATTTGCGTAGTGAGTGCTTTAAAGAGGCATTTGGGGTTCGGAATTCCTTGATGGGGTCAAAACTCCATTCTCCCTGATCTAATGGGTACTCTATCATCATTTTACCGGGGTGTGCATCATATCAGGTCAAAAAGAGAAGGTAGATGGCCCATGCAGGCGAGGCGACATTTTGAGTCTGTACCCTGCTTTAAACGGTCTTACGTCTTGCGGCATGGAGCTCAGGCAAAGATGTTTTAGGGGATTCAAGCTATCGTAAGCTTTGATCTTTGGTCAGAAAATCTTATGACTCCACACAGTTTTTGATCTTAAAGTTTTATGGGGGCTCTTCAGCACAATTTTTGTATTCTAAAATGGTGATTTACATGCTTTTTGTGTTGATTTCAAGCCAATTGATATCCGAGAGTCAAGTTTCTTATAATTCAAAACGAAGCAAATGACTGGTTCAAAAATAATCATGTGAGAAGGGTAAACAGAAAGGTTCGTTTGACCGTCAGTGCTCGAAGTGTAAGAGATCTGGCCGCTGAACCGAACTACAAGCCAAGCTTCCACTGTGGCTGACTGATTGAGTGGCATAGGCCTGCGGATGGTGCACGGATGAGCCGCTGTTCAAATACGGGGTTCGATGCCCCACTATTTCCGACCCTTGACGTTCGTTTCACGCCAAACTTTTGTTTATAAAGGGTTCAGATATCCTCTGCTTCTCCGTGAATATTTTATTGATAACTGTTGTTTGCAGCGCGTACTAGCGCAGTGTGGGTCTGTATTTTTCGAACTGTTCGTGGTCACGTGGATTTTGATCAGTTTTAGAGATTACGCGAACTATTTGACTAAGACACAATTCTGTGATACCTTGGTGAGCAGTAAACCCAAGGCATCATGGAGTTTGTTGAGCTCACAGATGTACGTTGCTCTGCGCCTGTCACGCTTGCGTCATACAGGCGCTATTCTTATCGGTAATTTGTGGACTTGTCGCGGTGCGGTGGAAGCCGTACTCAAGGGAACTTACTGGACTTTAAAGCCTGTCTGTTTGAACGATGAAATCTTTTACTGGTATCACATTACGCAGAAAGAGGCGATAAGGAACTTGTCCTCGATGCTTTATCTGTTTTACGTTTTTTCTTTGTAAATAGCTCTAATTTCCGCGCCTCTTATTGGCGTTTTTTGGGCTTGGCTCAATCCTTAGGATGGCCCCTTGGAAAGTTAGTGGTTCCAGGATAATCGTTACGGCCATTATAGATGATGAGAGTAGAGAAAAGCCCGACGTTTGTTTGATTCACCCACCTTATAACCATTTGGCTCGAAATGTTTCCGGGAAGCAGTGCACGGAGACAGTTCCGTTGGGTTCGTTTGTGTAACATCTTTGGAAATCGAAGCACAGGTAAATATCTGTTACAGTTGCTCCCGTTCTCCGAGTTTGAAAGGCCTAAATTTGCTCCCAGCTTTTATAACTTTCCTTTTGGTGGGACAGCGTTGGACGATTGCTTCTAGTGTTTTTGGGCATCAGTGTTGATAGAGACGCGTTTCCCTTAGTGACACACCAGAAAATCCTTGTCGAACAAACGTAGGTTAATTCTCGTCACGTCCAACCATTACCGAAATAGGGGAAATTTGGTGTCTAATAGATCTCTGGGGGTCTATTTCTGTGCAAAGATGGTGCCCATTTATCCGTTGCAGTCAGCCAACATGAAACTCGACAGGTCTTTCCACTTTTGAAGAACGCTTCGCGCGACGTCAAAAGCCCCGGTAAAGTTCGGTCGGATAAAGGACTAAACTTTGCAGGTAAGAGAAGGCTGAAGTAGAGCTAAAAACTCATACACATTACTCGAGCTTAGGCCCCCCGTGTCTGTGTAGAAGCTAACAAACGAATGCACGGGCAGAAGTGAGGTTGTCGTGCCCTAGTCTGTGGAACTCAGAACAAGACTACATACTTTCATAAAAGAAACTACTCACAAGGTTGCTGAAAACTCTCCGACATCCCGCGACCGGTTTCACCCTTCTTGGGGCTCATCAGGCAGGCGCAGCCCCCGAGTTTCCGTCAACCTTATGTTCTACTTGAATCCAAATTGCACTGTTTTCGAGAAATACACTAATATGCAAATCAATTTGGTTTTCACGAGAGACTCAACTCGAATATCGTGCCAACTGCATCATGAGGCGGCCTGTGTGCAGCACATTCAGTTGTAGAATACCATAAACGAGAGATTCAGTTGAGTCTCTCGTGAAAATCAAATTGATTTGCAAATTAGTGTATTTCTCGAAGATTGCATACTGTTTATGGATAAATGAAATCGCATAGTTGTCCTGATGATATCTGCAATTATGGACTATCTCCACTGAATGGATGAAATTCTGGTCAGAGAATTAGCTTCAAGGTGTCAGGTAGCTTGTTGCAAACCAACTCAAGTTGAGACCATGATAAAAGTTTTGGAGTTACTCAAGATCGTACAGAGTGATTTGACAGCAGTCCTAAGGCTTATTGAAATCTTCCTCAACGGGTTTTAACTTTTTTATTGGAAACGTTAATCCAAAATGACTGTCAACGGTTTGTGTATTCACATCATTTATGTAGAAGACGTGGCAGCTGGTCTCTGTTTTTGCATGATTTAGTCTGCAATGAAAACCCGCAAGATTCTGTTGAATAGCATTCTCTACATCACAGTAAGTTTACCAACTGCAGCACCGAATCACTGAGCTATATTCATTGACAAAGCAAAACTGCAAGTTGCTTTTCATATATGACATAGATTGCAGATTCTACCGTGTCGCACACCTTAGAGTTCATAAAGCAAGGTTTCTAGGTTTCCGCAACACAAATGGGGAGATGCAACTGATAGATGGTTTGTGGAGGTTAAAAAAACTGACGCGTACGGATGTATGTAGAGGTGTAATGAGGCAAACTAGGACCCAGCAGTTACCAAGTGTCAAAATCACCTGGTTTACCATCACGATCCATTATTAAACAGAGCAAAAGTTTGCGCGTTCTTCCCGCGTTATGATATCTCTACTTTAAATGTACTATCTTCACAGTGCAGGAAGCAGTGCTGCACCCAAGGTTCCGCAGAAATGGACAGCGGATTATTCGATTACCGGGTGCTCTTCATGTTTAAAGCCAAACTATCGTGCATAGGCCATTGACTCTGGATAGTGGGCGACGGTTTTCCAGCTATCATCAGGTGCTTCACAAGAACCTTGTCTAGGAATTATATGGCTTTGAACAATTGCAACCTAGAGCCCTCTTTCACAAGTTGATTCTAAGAATAACTCCGGTTGCATGTGAGATGCTGACTGCCACAGCGTCAAACGGTAACGAGTAAATTGCGACATTTGTAATACGGGAGGCGGTAAGCATTCCTTGATAATGTTGAATACCATTATCAATATTATACAACTGAGTGATTTTGAATATCTGAAAGTTTGGGATGAACGTGAATAGATGAATACTGAAAAAAAGCTTCCATGTCCAAAGAATGGGCCATATGTACTTGAAAAACCTGAAGAGAAGTTCAAAAACAGCCAATCCGATAGCGTGATTTCGATCGTTGGAAGGAAAGGAACCTAGGCTCCTGGTTGTTGAAATTGCTAAATTCCCACTGAGCATTGTGTCGGGAACTTAAAGCAACATAAATACCGGCTGTCCTGAAATTATCTGAAATAAATGTAAACTGGAAACTTCCACCGGAAAAAAAGAAGAGCTTCACCGATTTGGTAGCCGAACTGGCTGTCATACTTTAAGGAACCAAAGCCTTCCCATTCCAAAGATGCCAACGTAGGCTTAGGCACTGCAAGCCTATCGACATCTTTTACAACACATCTCCCGAACTGGGCTTGAATTCCACAAGATGAAGCAACAATCATGTTGAAGCTGAAAGGTGCCTGTCAACCTAAGGTATCAGTTCACCTTGATGAGTCCTATCCTGTTCCGGGATATTCGTAGTCTATTTGTGGTAATATCAGATAACCTTATATCAGATAATATCAGGTAACTGAGCTTAATTCCGGGCTGTCTATGGGTTTGTGTTTACCTCATTATCGTGGGATTTCTGTAGAACAACTGTATTCTTTGACCTGCATCAGAGTTCCAGAAAAGTTTATTTAAACGCTTGTTTCTCCCACGATTACCACTAGGTCAGCTTTGGTCATGAAGATGCTGATAGCAGAGTGATATTTCTGCGGGTCCACCTGACCGATCGGGACCATGGAGACCTTAGATATTCCAGGGATCTGATAAGGACTCAGACAAAACCTTGTAGTGTTGGATGGTCGTTCATACGTCTCCCGAAAAGTGCTCACTTTGCTCTTTGTAAAGCTAACAAAATCCGTGGCCATTTGTATTGTACAGATGACGGGAAAGTAGTTCATGTCAACATTTATGTGGAAAAATTTCTTGCATCGTTTGATACTTTCGAAGGATTTTACGGGCACTGCTTAAGGTTACCAATAAACTGGAGTAGTTTTCCCAGGCTTTCTGCTTAGATCGGTTTTAACTGCGGAGCGAAATAGCTATTACAAATTTCCACATGTTCTCACATTCCCAGTGACTGCGAAAGAAGCCGGTTCATTGTGTTTGGACTTATGTGATTATTGTCGGAAGTTAGGTTGAGGTCAAAGTGGGACATCGTGCAGTGGCCTAATCATTGCGTTGTTCCTCGATGTTGGTTGAATCTCAAGTAACTCAGCTGAACTCGAGTGGTTTACCACTTTTAGCTGTAAATAGAGCTATTCTTAGCGTCGTATGAAATTAAAGGTACGAGGTTAACAATAGTGGCATTCTGCCGCACCCGGTCACAAATATAATTGTATATTTCAGGACCTATGCGACCCGCCCGGGGGAATTCAATCATAGCTTAGCTCTCTTAACACAGCGAAACCAACTATTGTGACGGTGGCTTAGCCGGTTTAGTCCCAAAGGGAGCATACAGCCTCAACTGATAAATAGTGGGCCGGAAGGTCCGAGTGGTTTGATACCATGCAATGCCGAAAGTCCAGATTTGTCCGCCGACCTCCGACTGAGAGGCTTCGTGAAATTTTTTTATCCCCGTCTTGTCGCCTAGGCGTCAGCCAGTACGATCGTGTTTACCAGAAGCTGGCACATGGTTCAGTTAATTTACAAGGATGCTGCGGAAAGGGTTAAACCGGTATAGTCAGTTCGGCGAAATCCCCGCGTCGCTGAAGCTCCCAAAAATAGAACAAGCAAAGGTTAACATGGACCAAATAATACTGCGCGAGACATGTGACTTACAGTTCTGTGGGCGGATGTCCAGCGTTTTGCTTCCCAAAAGTGTGGGATTTGAACCCAGATCATTCAGCGCAAAGGAGCTGCAAATGTCTCGTGTCAAAGTGATATGGGTATTTTGGAGAATAAGCTTTTCTGGGGAAACAGAATTGATTTCGTGCAATATTTCGTCCAACTTTGGGCAATAACCAAGAATTGTAACCCATTTGTAGCGATAACGAAACTAAGATTGCACCTGATAACAGGAGTTTATACTCCGACCTCATATGTGTATATCTATCTCTCCGTATTATATGTGCCTGAAAAGGGCTACCATGAGCCCCAGATGTGAAATAGTAGCATGATTGTGCACGCCATTGAAAAGCCTCGCTCAAGTGGTTGCATTTATGCGGTCTTCTCTTCTACGTTTTCCGACCTTTATGTGTGCTCTGTGACTCCACTAACACCAATTTCAGTGCATGTCTATTCCAGCAACGGTATGCACCGTTACAATATCCTTGTGAACGTCGAGCGCCACGGCCATTTTGACTACCCCAGAAAGTCAGATTTGCATTCAGGGTTCTAACTTCTTAGCTTTCAGTTCAACGGTCTTTCGCGTAGTTTGTGTGTGTCTATGCGTTAGGCCAGCTGAGCGCCCATACAGGTGCGTATAAATCACATGTCGAACCTCGATTTTATAGGCGATCCGGCAACTCGTATGGATGTCGAAATACATGACACAATATTGGAAAGCATCACAAATACATATCACTATATTTTATACATCATTGTATATGTTATGTATTATATATTACAATTATAAAGCACCAAGCTATAATTCACTCTTGATAATAACATTCACACTCCCTAAGATTCTTTGAACATCCTCGGGGGCACTCCGAATTTATGGTGCCGCCAAGCACTTTTGCCCACTTTTTTACAATCTGTTCTATGAGAATGGTTGCCAACTCCATAGTTATCAAGATTTTTTCACCTGTCATCCTTGTACCTAAGGCGCTTCTGTAGTGATTCAAAGATTGTTGATGGAAATGCTTTCTGTCCCTTCCATTTTCGGAGTCGTATTTTGAAATTCTAGGTGCGACCTTCTGAATCTTTCTGTTCCGGCTAGGAACAGTGTACTGTTCCGTGTTGCTTCTAAATCGGCCGTATTCTGGCTGTAGAGTTTTGGTGTCCTGTTCTAAAGCCTATGTGACGACACTTGGCCACATATTGACCACATTTCGAATCTACTGATTAGCTGTCACATCAAAGTAATGCGTTCATCCTTGTAGTCACAGAGTATTGTCTAAAACTTTTAAGTCGTATTCTATATTCTTGGTAGTTTATAGAGCAAAGTTTTTTCTTGAACATTTTTCAATCTCGTGTGTTAGCTGTGGCCCTAAAGTTCCACACGTCCTCTTTCAAAATGGTTAGTGTTCTTTCTATAGTCTAGTGCTATTTTCTTTTATATGAAGTGAATTTTATTCGGCACCTTCACCTTGCTCCCTCGCCTTTCGTCTATGTCCATGAATATTCATCCTATTATGCAGACGAACTTATTATGAGTGGAATACCTGCTCCAGTTGCATCATGTTCCCTTTCTGGTCACGTCGAATATTAGGATCCAGCCAACGTCTGCCTTGCATATACATTACAAGGTGTGACGTTGCTAACATAAAACCCTTCATAAAGAGTGCTAAAAAGCAGTCAGGTCATGGGTTATTTTGTAGTAAACATGTATAAAAATACTTACTTTAAAATTTCAGTTGAAAGCTGCAGCAATTAAATCTTCAACGACCAGCAATTACAGTTTATCGAACAGAATATTTTAACTCATTCAGAAAAGCTTCGTCTGTGTGTGGTAGTAAACACTTGAAACACGGACTCTTTCGGGAAAATATTGCAATGCAATATTGCAATATTGCAGATAGCCTTCGAATGTTATATAAACGCACGCAGGCAAAACCCACTCAGATGCGCACTGATGATGTCTCCTCTTATGGTGATGAGAAGTTTGCAAGCCAGTTGCCAAGCTCGGCGAACAGATCAACATTCACCTGATCAACAACCGATTGCAATGCACAACTTGGATACTTGCTGCATGTGGGAACATGCAACAGAAGCCTCCCGATTACAAGCGCACACTGCCGTGTATTCGATTATCCATAATCTTGGAACTGTAAAGGATCGTCGCTAAGCCAGTATTATCCACAATTAGAACCCGTTGTACCATGTGTTGCAGTTATTTCTGTAAATAACATGAGTCGCCTTCGCTGTATCAGATTTTTCTTCGGTTTGGTTATTGCTCTTTTTGGTGCGTTTGTAGATTTGTGAACCACACTCGTATTATGCTGTCATAGTGTGGTCGCAGTCATCTCAGAAAGGTTCATGATGTGTATGCATTTTGCGGTGTCAGTGATTTGAAGCGAACAGAATTCCCTCGGTAACCGCTCCTTTGAAGGAATTCTTGTTAGTGTTTTTCTTCTTTGACCGCCAATTCTACTGTATTTGTGTCTGGATGCAATTCTGTTTGTGATGGGCTGTATGGGGCTGCGATAGTTCCAAAAATTACTCTTCTGCCTTCATCTGTCTCCTTTACTTAACAATATCACTGTCTTTACTAAATTTTGGTAAACACTGGGTGTATTTTCACGAGGAGCCGTACTCACAAGGTTGCTGGAAACTCTTTGACAGCCCATAACTGTTTTCACCCTTCTTGCAGTTCATCCAGCAGCCGCCAACCTTATGCTTTACTGGGGACAAAATTGCACGAAAGTCGATAAATGTACTAATAAGCACATCAATTTGGTTTTCACGGGAGTCTCAGCCGAAAACCTCGTTTATGATATTTTTTAAATGAATGTGCTGCATACTGGTCACATCACATTTCAGCTGGTACAATATTCAAGATATCGCTGTATATTGTATGGACATAATACGCACGTTTGCACTGGTTTATTCGACATTCCAATGACGAAGACATCTGGAAATGTCATTTTGGTATTGTTCCGTCATTCCATCATGAGTCTGACATGATCGAAAAGGCCGTTTTTTAACTGGATTGTTTGACACAGTTCGTTCCTTTTGATGGCATGAAATTATCGTTCGCGTAGCGAATTCATAACTTGGAATCGACCACGGTGCACTCGTTATTGCATGGCGAACGCGGCGATCAACGCTGGAATGCGCAACCCCAAAGACTCTCCTCTCCGTTGTTTGTAGGACCCTACAGTCAAGTAGACGATGAAAAATCCACAAATTCTTCAGGGTCCACAACTTTCTGATAGCCCAGCAACTACTGCCTTGGTTGTACAAGAGTCCGCAGATGTGAACAGTAAACCTTAAACAAGCAAGTTAACCAAAGCCATCATTTTGCCCCCCTCTTGCGTCTATTATTTTAGCCAAAAAATGTTGGCTACTGCTATTGAGTATTGTGATGCGCCGAATAGATATATGACCTTCCACAGTGTGTATGAAAGGGTGTTGAATTATGTGCCTGGAAATAATACGGCTAGACAGGATGGGGTTAACAGGATGGTGTGTACTTTTAGAAATCCGAGGGAGTTTGGAATATTCGAATTATGGTCTCTGATCCTTCAAAGTTGTTCGTTTGCGGTCTCTTAGAGGGCTCTAGAAAGTTTAACGTTTCTGTTCGTGGTGCGTGAGGTGTCATTGAGTAGCGCCCACTTCATTTTTTTCATAGTGACTGTCGAACATCCAGTAATAACCGGTAGGATGACGATGTTTTCATCTTCAAGTTCTTCAGTGTTTCTTTTTTCGTGTTCGATAGAATACCTAAAGTTTTATTGCGTGTGCTATGTGGTACAATGGCTCAATGGAGTTATTGTGCAGCGTTTCCTTCCGGTACAATGGATTTCACCGGTACCTGCAGACTGGTTTGTTGAGCCCAGAGTGTAGTAGCTGCTTCGATGTGTCAGAGTTTGCGCGTGTGTGTGTCCGTTAGTCGTTCCATCATTGATCTGGCGTGTGACGTGAGTGGCTGATTGGGCGCGTGTCCGATTGATTTGCTCACGTGAGCGTTGTGGGTGGACAGGACATGTACTCAGTTGTTTGCTGACCCGCCACGAAAGCGGACCAGGTTGGCCGCGTGTACACAGTGCACCCGTGTCAGTACTTACGTGTTCTTCTGACTTACTTTGAATTACAATACAGAGAAATAAAGTTTGTTATCTTGATAACTACATTCTGTGCCTGTTCGGTCATTTGTTCAATGATGAGATTCCTGGTCATTGCCTTGTTGTTGTTGCCTCCATTTTGGTAGTTTCTGGCCGGTTCTGAGAACCTGTTTTCTCGAACAGTCCTATTCTATACAGCGGTGGATCTGATTCTTCATTCGAGACTCATACTGAGCTTTTGTATAGAATACGGTCATATAGTCCTCAAACAGATCTCACTTTCGTATACTTTCTGATATGGCTATGGGCATCCGTTATCATCCGTCTGACAATCCGCCCACCATGGATTGTGGCAAGGGCTAAGCCTTGTAAGTAACTATTCCGCTGCCGATGAGTTACACTATGTTGAGGAATTTAGTTTTATAACGAATGCAACTGTTTGCTTAGAGATTCTTCATAAACGTAGCGCTTATTCAACCTGTAGTAACAGCACGCTTGCTCAGTGAGGAATGCTGTATAATTTTATCAATATAATATGTTCTTTGTATGGGTAAATTGTTGGGCGCGTGTGAGTATTTGAAAAGCCCCCCGAGAGCTTCTATATGCAAAGTAAATTCTGAGGTGGAGGCCCACCATCTCTCCATTCCTATCTGATTTCGTGACTGATGAGGTAATGGGGCGAACGCTACGTCTTCATAGCCATCATGTTCAGTCTGGACTACACAGATGAAATGGTCCTCGTCATAGAAGAGGAAGAAGCGCCGACATTTTCGGATGAACTCACCAAAATCATCCCGTGCTTTGAGATACGCTTTGCACTCACAAAGTGCAGGGTCATGCTCCTGGATATGCAGGCGCTATGAAGGCGCTATTCAGAATCCAAGAGAGGCCCTCGAATTTGTGGAGTGTTTCACGGATCTCGGAAGTTGTATTAGTTCTGATTGTGGTGTGACAGATAAGGCAGTGCCGGAATAATCAAGACTGAGATCGCGTTTGCTAATTTGAGACATATGGTGACAAGGCGGCATATCCCTGAATCTCAATGGACCTGTTAATCAGGCCACAGTACGGCCTGTTTTGTTGTGTGGCTGTAAGATTCTGCAGCCCAAGAGTAGCGGACCTGAGAACCCTTAGGTGTTTGACAACGACTGCCTCAGAACTACAGCTCATGTAGTCTGACGCCAGCGAATCCGTAACTGAACACTCAGAGCGAGTGTTCGGTTGTGCAACAGGGACTTCAGTCAGAGAATGTCTCTAGTACCAGAATTTGCGGGGGCTAGACCATGTATTGCATATGTTGAATCATCGTCTGCCGAAGCGAGTGATGCAGGGATCAGGCCACAGGCCTGTTTTGTTGTGTGGCTGTAAGATTCTGCAGCCCAAGAGTAGCGGACCTGAGAACCCTTAGGTGTTTGACAACGACTGCCTCAGAACTACAGCTCATGTAGTCTGACGCCAGCGAATCCGTAACTGAACACTCAGAGCGAGTGTTCGGTTGTGCAACAGGGACTTCAGTCAGAGAATGTCTCTAGTACCAGAATTTGCGGGGGCTAGACCATGTATTGCATATGTTGAATCATCGTCTGCCGAAGCGAGTGATGCAGGGAGAGAGGTGGTCAAACAATAACCTCCAATAAAGGGATGAAATATTACGAAACGTCTTGATGCTGCCGGTGTGACTCACCGTGTGTTTCCGCGCGATCCACTCTTTGCATGGTTGCAGACGCTACAGGGTATGATTGTTAATCGGTGTCAAAAGCGTTCTAGTTGTTTCTTTCAAACCAGAGTGTCTGAATGAGTGATGGATGTATAGAGAGCCAAACGATTGTGATGGGATAGCAGTAAGTCACTCCTCATCCACTTTTTTCCTCCATAATAAGGCTTCCAAACAAGTTGTGGTTGTAGGTTAGCGGAGCGTCAGTATTGAACATTTACGTCATGCTGTCGATGATAGTGACTATGCCTCTTGGACATTTACCCTCGTTGTGATGTTGTGCTTAGTCCACTGTAGTCTTGAGGCAACAGTCCACCAGCAATTTCCCCCTCCTTGAGAGACATCAAGTTGAGTTTCTATAAGTCTAATTTCCTACTTCGTTCTTGTGGCTTGACTGCTTAGGTATACCTTGGAGAACTGCAAGCACTCATCGATTTGCGGACTGTCATCAAATGGCTAGATGGTAATCTGTACTCCTGTATGTACCGGTGTCCCAGGTCTCTAACCGATTCAGACTAGAGGGGGAAAACTCTAGCTTACAATGTAAGATCACTTGACAGTACTTCACAGCAATTCGTAGGGGGGGGGGGAATGGACAACAGACCTACTTTGTTAGCATTAACAGTGAAAGCAACTTGTTTGCGTAGACTTTTCGGTGTATTTATCAGGTGCTTAGTTCCTCAACTACGGCGCAAGAGCATAATTTTATGGATTCCGAATTTTCTGATTTCCTCGCTCCGAACGTATAACATCATTGTCTCCCCACTTTGGTGCATCAAGCACTCTCTTCGCATCGGGAGTAGGAACTCAATAAATAACTGACGATAGACAAGAGAAGACAGAAAAAAATATTCCGTGTGTGACCTAGATCGCTAGTCTTAACTGATGTGCTCCTTATCTGATTCAAGCACAGAGACCTAGGCAAGGTGTTAGGAGAGTGATAGTGATGTGCGGCAGAGAAAAGTGTAGCAGACGAGGTGGCTGCGAGCGGTCGAACGCGCTATCGGACTGGGATGGGAATGAAGTCAAATCAGAATTGCCACATAATTAAAAACTTGTGCATTTTTCACTAATACTCGTGGAGCATACTTAACAGGCAGACTGTGCCCAACCGATCCGTCCATGGTCCTTCTCAAAAATCGTATACATGTCACGTAAAAACGCAATTCCCAGTTTCCACACAGCGCTTGCAGCGTGCTCTGGAGTGGGGACAAAAATGCTGCCACACACTAGTTGTCCGTTTACTGTTTTCTGGAAGTAGTCAAAGAAGAAAACCTATTAGGAGATGTTAGGAGGACACGTGGCGTTAAGGTTCCAGGCGGTGGATTATCACTCTACTCTACATCCTAGTCTGTAGATGAGCTGCAGATAACATACTGTCAGGAACCAGTTTGGGTCATTCAGTGCCGAGCCGTAAAACGGTTACTTTAAGTCCTATAGGACAGAGCTGCAGAAATCCTTACCAAAAGTAGTTTCAACAATATACGTGAAGTATTCTCATCCGGCGTTATTTTACATAAGCCTATAAGCCATTGTCTCAAGGTTAGGAAAACTAGGAAGTAATTTTGCCGAGATCCTATTTTACTCACCTGGATTTTCTTCTGAACATTTATCGTTCTATATTAGCTCTTAACCGCCGATTTTTCGACTTTCCCTCTTGATCTGCTTGCAGTCCACTGTTTTTTCCCAGCATGAAGTTTTAGATGATGATTTTCTTTCATTTTACAGTTTTTTTTATCGTACTTCCTCTTTGATCACCACCACTTAACAGTGGATTTTGTGCTTTGGACCATCTTCCTCTTCGGTCGATTAATGCCAGCTGAGTTTTGGTCCAATCAAACACGTTACAGAGAGGTTTCTTGGTAGATTTTCTGGGCAACCAATGACATTTAAATGTATTGACGAGTGTTGAAGTGAGGGACATTAAACCACTTGCAACAAAAATCAAATTAAGTTTACCCCTGCTCAGTTCTGCACGCATATGATGCATTTGTCCCTTCCTAGTAG